TCTCCTCCCCCTGCGAGTGGCTGCACATCCCTCTCTCCATCCCATCCTCTCTCAATCCTTCTCCTCCCCAGCTCAAGTCCTATTCTCCGTACTTTCCCTCATTATACTTTCCTTGTTGTCTCTTTTTAACCAAAGCTTAAAACTCAGGGCAGTGCACACAGTTCCACAGTTCTTGCTTTTTTCTTTTTATTTATTTATTTATTTTTTTTAACGTGGGATTGAATCTAGGCAGACAATTTACTGCTGAGTTATATCCCCAGCCATTTATTTATTTATTTATTCATTCATTCGTTCGTTCACTTATTTATTCATTCATTCATTCATTCATTCTCTTATTTATTTATTCATTCATTCACTTGTTTGTTTGTTTGAGATAGTGTTTCATATGGCTTAGGCTAACCTGGAACTTAACTATGTGGCTGAGGATGGCCTTGAACCTCTGATACTCCTGCCTCTGCTTCCCGAGTGTTAGGATTACAAGGGTTGATCACCATGCCTGGTTTGGGGGTTTTTTTGTTCTGTTTTGTTCTGTTTCGTTTTTCAGACAGTATCTTTTATTTGGGGTGAGGGGGAGTTTGAGACAGGGTTTCTCTGTATTGCTTTGGAGCCTGTGTGAATGCAGCCAGTGCTCTTAACCACTGAACCATCTCTCCAGTCCCTCAGACAGCACCTTGCCAACTAAATTGCCCAACTGGCCTCCCACCTCAGCCTCCTGGAGCTGAGATACAAACACTTGCCACCGTCCCTGTCTAAACGTGTTTGTCACATCTACTTCATGAGGCCATCCCTCCTCTTCTTTGTCCTCTCCTCTGATCTCTGGTTGCTCTGGTCCTCATCCCTCCCTTAATCCTTAAAACGCTCTATTCTGTCTTCTAACATAGCTTTTTCTCTCTACATTTATATTATTTTCTTTGGGGTAGAGTATAAATTTATGGAAGGAGAAACCACGAGAGGCTTTGTTTCCCGAAGAATCTACTAGTGTGCATTCACAGTTACTTTTTAATAAGCGTCTTGCACCACTTAAGGATCAAAGCACATATACCCAAGTTCAGATCTCCAGGGCCCACATACAGCAGCCTACCTCTGTGTCCTAGCTAGGGTTATTATTGCTGTGAAGAAACACCATGACTAAATTCAAGTCAGGGAGGAAAGGTTTATTTGGCTTACACTTTCACATTGTAGTCCATCATTGGAGGAAGTCAGGACAGGAACTCAAACAGGGCAGGAACCTGGAGGCAGGAGCTGATGCAGAGGCCATGGAGGGGCGCTGCTTACAGGTTTGCTCTTCATAGCTTGCTCAGCCTGATTTCTTATAGAACCCAGGACCACCAGCCCAGGCATGGCATCACCCACCATGGGCTGGGCCCTTCCCACATCAATCGTTAATTAAGATTGCCTACAGGCCAATCGTATGAAAGCATTTTCTCAATTGAGGCTCCTATCTCTCTGATGACTCTAGCTTGTGTCAAGTTGACAGAAAACTAGCCAGCAAACTCTGTAATTAATACCTGCACTAGGAAAGGAGAGATAGGAGAATCCCTGGAGCTCACACTCCAGCTAGTCTTGCCAAATCAGTGAGCTCCAGGTTCAGCAAGAGATCTGACCTTAAAAAAAAAAAAAAAAAAAAAAAAAAAAATGTAAATGTAGAGGGAAGGGCAGATAGCTAATCAGTTAAGAGTGCTTGCTGCTCTTCCACAGGACATGAGTTCAGTCCCCTGCACCCATGTCAGATAGCTCACAACTGCTTGTAACTCCAGATCCAGGGGATCTGACATGTTCTTGCCTCTACAGATGCACACACACACATATACACACTCACACACACATACACACAATTAATTGAGTGTAACAAAAAAAAATTTTTTTGAAGATAACCCAGTCTACCCTCTTATCTTACAAGCTATGGGACTAAGGCAAAGTAGGTACATGATTTCGGAGTCAAACTGGGTCATTCCGGGAATCCATATTTCCACAATAACCTCTCTGTGACCCTCATTGCAAAACCTTGTAATGAAGCTTACAGGCTAACTAATTGCTGTGCTTCTTTTTAAATAAACAAGATCGCCATTTGTTAAAGGCCCAAAGATAAGCTAAGTGATTTCTGAAGTTTTTTCCAGCCCAGGCTATGAAAGTCATGTCACACTTGGGGCTCCTAGGGGAGACACACTGTTGCAATTCCGCCATCTAGTGGTGATTACTGAACATGGCACCTCCAGCTATCACCAACACATTATTACCTTAAATGCCCCAGTAACCAGAGTTTTCGCAACATGCCAAACACATGGTGGCACTGTGCTAAACACTGCCTTCAGGTGAATATGTGACACTAGAAATCTAAAAGCCCTCTGGTTCTCACATCTTCAGCTCTCAACCTTGGGACTCTGTTAAGGAGAATAAGCTGAGACCTTTGTTTAAGGGAGTGTTTATCTGACAGTAGGAGAAAGCAACAGGGAAAGGCTAAGCCTGACTCAGATCTTGAAGGGTTAGAATAAGTTTAATGTTGCTTTTCCCCTGATCATCCAGGAAAGGTGTGCCCCCTCCACGATAGGAGCAAGTCTGAGACCTGCTCCACAAGATGAATCCACAACCCATACTGTAAACCTGGCCCAACGTCCATGGCTGGGGAGATCACAGCCCCTAATGAGGATGCTACAGCTGCTGCTGTGCTAAGAGGATGTGATAAGCTGGTCAAGTTGCCTTCTACTGGCTTTCTCCACTCTTATACCATCCAGGATCCTCTACCTAGGGAATGGTGCCACCCACAGGGGGTGGATCAACACACCTCAGTCAATCTAATCAAGATCACATACAGACAAGCCCTTACTATTGCTATTATAGTTTAGATTTCCTGAATGGGGACAGTAACTCCCACCTCCTGGGCTGCTGGGAATGGCTGTGATCTGCACTGGGACAGATGGAGTAGTTGTTCAGGACGTCCACCTTGTTTTTTTCACACTCTCTGAAATTTACCTTTGTAAAGGACACTGTTTCATGATCACATTGTCTCTAAGGTCCACTTTCCTCGTGTTTCCCCAGGTAGCAGACACTGGGCTGGATTAGAAGTTCAGTGCAGAGTTGGGAAGAAGCAGGGATGAAGACTGCCCCAAGCCAGTCTCTGCACGCTGCCTCTAGCTCAGTCCCCCTGATAAGGGGACTTTCCACAAAGCTGCCCTTCCTCTCTGATGGGAAGCAGACAGCTCCATTGAAACCTGAGCTGAGAACTTTGTTTGCTGTCTTAGACCCTGGGTGGCAGAGAGCCTATGGGTACACTCAGCCATTCTTCCTTCCTCACAGCAGCTGCCCTGTGTGACCCATCACCTCCCATCAATCCATAGGATAGGCCCTGAGCCAAAGCTTCCATAAGTCTCCCCCACTGAGTTAAAAGGACAGGGATTTCTTCTGTCTTCACATGACTAAGCCCTCAGCACCACAAAGGAGATTTATGGGTCATGCCAGTTCCTGAAGACCTTAGCTGGGTAGGAAATGCTCCTGAACACTCCTCAGTGAACAAGATCGCTGAGAAGCAACAGCCATCTTAGGTCAGCAGGACAGCTCACACATGAGGAGATGGTATAAAACAGGCTGAGTGCCTGCGGCTTTGAGCAGAGTAATACCACCACCAGCCCTGAACCTCGCTGGGAAAGCAAAGAATGAGTGCACTTCCATTTGTTGTCTGGTTATTGCTTGCTACTGTTTGGATTTGCTTTCTTTTTCCCTTTTTTGAGAGAGTGGTTTTGGGGGGTGGTTTTGGGGGAGACATTTTGTTTCGTGTAGCCCTGGTTGTCCTGGAATTCACTATATAGCCCCAAACTCACAAAGATCTACCCCCCTCTGTGTGTGTGTGTGTGTGTGTGTTTGTATATGTGTCCTCAGAGGCCAGAAAATGGATTAGATCCCCTGGATTTTACAAGTAGTTGTAAACAACTGGATATGGCTGTTGGGAAGAAATTTGGGGTCCCCTGGGTGAGCAGCAAGCACTTTTGACCCCTGAGTCATCTCTCCAGCCCCATAGTGGGAATATTCTTAACACTACTGAGGTAGTTTGAATGTAATTGACCCCCATAAGCCTATATGGAGTGGCACTATTAGGAGATGTGGCTTTGTTGGAGGAAGTGTATCACTAAGGAGGCCGGCTTTAAGGTCTCCTATGTGCTCAAGCCATGCCCAGTGTGACAGTTCACTTCCTGTTGACTGTTGCACCATGTCTGCCTACACACCACTAGGTCCCACCATGATGATAATTGCCTGAACCTCTGAATTGTCAGCCACCCCATTAAATGTTTTCCTGTATAAGAGTTGCCATGGTCACAGTGTTTCTTCACAACAATAGAAACTCTAAGACAACTACTGAATTGATTTTTTTTTAAAAAAAATGGTTATTATGCTACAGTCTATATTCTAGGTGTTCAGCCACATTTTTTAAAATTGCTGAGGATCTAATGTAATTATACATACTAAGCAAGTATTGAGCTAACACTTTTTTTTTTTTTTTTTTTTTTTTTTTTTTGGAAGCAGGCTGTAGTCCATGGCTACATGTAGCCCAGGCTAACCTCAAACTCACTCTGTAGCTCAATATGATCTGACCCCTCCTGTCTCCACCTCTCTTCCATTGGGATCACAGGTGTGTGTTTCCATACCTGATATGATTTAAAGAAGAAGGAAAAGGAGGAGGAGGAGCAAGGACTCTGTGAGGGATCCTGGCAGTCCAGGGTGTCCCTTTTCCCACCTTCTACCTAAGGGTGACAGAGTGGCGAAGGAGCTTTGTGAGGGAGGGGGACCCATAGGTCCTCAAGCTGCAGGCCCTTCAAAAGCCTCTCGATCATGTGTCTGATGCCACTATTTCTAGATCCTTGGTCTTTTGTCCTTATCTCGCTGCTCCCAGAGCCAACTCATTTCTCAAGAACAGGAGGCCTCGGGTGACATTATCATACACACCCACAATGAACTCCATTAACAGGTTTTAAAAAAACAAAAACAACAATAACAACAACAAACAGGGATTGTTGAGACTCGGTACTGGGCTCTTTATTTACAGGGAAGGCCGTATGTCTGAGAGGTTGTAGAACTGTGACCCAGTGTGAGTCCAAGATTCTGTGACAGCTACCATGGGTGTCCAAGCACCTGGGGGGGAAAAATGCTAGATAAAGAGAGCATGTCACCTTCCCACATCCTATACCCTTATCACAAGCCCACATCATGGGGAAGGCACTGCACCAAGGGATTGAACTAAAGAGGCATAAGCCAAGGATCCCAACTTGGGTGGGGTTTTGTCACACTCAAGAGCTTGTGCTGGGCCCAGGCCTGAAAGATGTAGTGGGAGGCTCGGGGGTGTGACAGTGATGCTCAAAACAGGGCATGTCCTAGTTAGATTTGTTGTTGTTTTGCCAACATGAGTTATCAGAGAAGAGGAACCTCATTGGGAAAACACCCCCATCAGAGTGCCTGTAGGCAAGTCTGTAGGGTTTCCTGTTGTTTGATTTGGTTTGGTTTTTTGATTAATGATCAATATGGGAAGTCCCAGGCCACTAGGGGACGTGTCACCTCTGGACCCCCCTGGACACCGCTGAAAGCAGGCCAAGCAAGCCATGCGGAGCAAGCCAGTAAGCAGCACTTCTCCATGGCCTCTACTTCAGTTCCTGCCTCCAGGATTCTGCACATTGAGTTCCTGCCAGCTTCCCTCAGTGATGGAGTGTGAACTGAGAGTTGTAAGCTGAATAAACCCATTCCTCCCCAAGTTGCATTTGGTCATGGTATTTACCACAGCAATAGACACACTCAGACAAGGCAAAAGACGAGGGACAAGAGGTTGGGCAGGAGAAGCATGATGGCTAGAACCAGCACCAAGCCAGTAACCCCAGGCTGCCCTCCTATCTTGACTTCACAGACATGGCACAGAAGAATTCTAGGGCATGTGATGTATCCATGAGCCCCTTTGGAGGCACAAAGGACCTTAAGGAAGAGGCAGAACTCACCCTGGAGAAATCCACTCTACCCAGACATGATGTGCTTGACAAAGGCTGAGAAAGAAACCGAGAATCAGCCATACAGAGTGCCCCTCAGAGCTCCATCCCCTCTCCTCTGCTCCCTGTCCCCCAAACCTCCAACCTTGCCATGCCCTTTCAGCAGGTGGTAATCCTCTTACTGGAGGGTTGGTGGAGAAGGCAAAAGAGGGAAAAGACCTAAACTCTGCTATGTGTCCCCTCTGTGCTGACATTAGACAGATGACATGAACTATATTGTCACTACAGAGCCCCACAACTTTCAAAAGGTGTCAGCATGCCCACCCCCATTTGAGGCTCAGAGATGGCAAGTGACTTGATCAGAGTCACAGGGATGCTTTATCACAGAGCTGTCTCCAAAACCCAAGGTCCTGGGCCACTGAGATGCAGCAGTGGGTACAAGTGCTTGTCACAAAAGCCCGATGACCTAAGTCCAATCCCCAGGAGCCAATGGTAGAAGGAAGTATTTTTTCCTAAAAAAATTGTCTTCTGACCTCTGAACACACATGTGTGCCCAAACCAACATTCATATCATATCTATACATACAATAATAATAAATATATATTTTAATGTTCCTTCCATTATATCAGGTATTCAGTCCCACGATGGGAAAAAAAAAAAAAAAAAAAAAAAAAAACAGCACCCAGTGAGAATCTGCCACAGCCCATCTGAGATGTGATGTACACCCTGTAGCCTCTGGGCTGGCCCATCCCATCCCATCCCACTCTTACCCTGGGCACCCTGGGAAGTAGAGAAGGCCCTACCTTCGTAATTGATGCAGCCATTGGCATCCTCCTGCCCAGACAACAGCTGTTCTACCTCTGCCTCACTCATCTTCTCTCCTGTGGGTGTGGGAACGGGGTCGTGACGACAAGGGACAGAGAAGAGGAAGGAAACACGGAAGTACTCCTGAGGCTTAAAGTCCACTCTGGGTCTGAGAAATGGTTAGTGTCAAGCCTCGGCAAAGGCTCTGGAAGTGGGCTCACCACGGGGCACAGCACCAGTGGCGAAGGTAAGGAAAGAAGCCCTGAGTCCATGGCAGGCCTCAGGAGTATCCCCTGCTCTGCCACCTCCTCTCCTCTCCCAGCCCCTGGTGCTTGCTGGGCAAACCCAGTTCCCGGGATACATGGGGAGGGGGATTCTCATAGAGGCCAGGGAAACAGGCCCTGGATTCGGATTTGCCAGATACAGGGACCCTTAGATACACCCCACCATATGCCACTTGGCCCCTCTTATCCTTCAGTTTCTTTCATACAGTTTCCATTGCTGCCCGACTGACGTACCCAGAGTAGCAAGGACGTGCCGAAGCTCAGCCCCCATGACTGTGCCGTTGCTCTCTTTGTCAAAGACCCGCAGCCCCTCCACGAAGTCCTCGTAGGTGCCCTGCTCCTTGTTGCGGGAGATGTGCTGTAGGATGGGCAGGAACATCTCGAAGTCCAGTGTCTTGGAACCCATCTCTTCCAAAGGACATGAGGGCAGACAGAGACCACTTAAGTAGATACTCAGGGAGGAGAGGGCCAAGAGTTCCAGCCCTCACATTTTCCACGGCTCAGGGTGAGACACTCCGCCAGTGACAGGCAGAGTTATAGAGATCAGCCAACAGAATTGGAAAAACACAAACAAACAAACAAACAAACAAAAACCCCAAGTGTCCATGTAACTCTGCACTGGGTCCAGTTATTAGACCACTGTATATGGAAGCTGAACTATTTAGACATCCACACTAACCTTCAGGCTTGGGTTTTCCCAGAACACGCAGGACCTCTGCATTGGTGGGGTTCTGGCCCAGGGCCCGCAGCACGTCCCCACACTGCCCATAGGTGATCTTCATCTCTCCAGTTGGAGTCCGGTCAAACAGTGAAAAGGCCTCTTTGAACTCTGTAGAGAGACACCCAGCTACAGCCCCCTGCCCCAAGAGTAGGCAGCGGCTGTGGCTTACTCAATGGGGCAGTTAAAGGCTGTAGCTGTTCCCTTGAGCCACTGCTGCAGGCTTTCCTTGGAAATTGGTTCTATCCTCATCTCCTGACAAGCAACATCACCTGGCGACCTCATGACTTATCCTAGTACTGATCTCTGGCTGTCTTCTCCCAGCCAGTTAGAGGATTGGCTAGTCCCCTGTGTCTCCCCACCCCACATCCTTCCTTGGTAGAGACAAGTCTCTTATTCCTGCCAGTGAGGCTTTCCAGATTGGGCTCTACCTAGGAGAATAGGAAAAGTCAGGCTGGGTCTCCCTCTCTGCTCATTATCCCTGATGCTGTGAGTGTCCTAGGAGGTGGCATGATGTGGGGACAGTTTGCAAAGTGATAAGACCTATTCAAAAGTCAGCTATTATCTGTACTGCTTGTTCCCAACTGCAAGAGCTCCCGAGCCAGACAAGGTGACATTGAGGCCACTGTCAGACCACACCAGGCATGGCACTGAACCACCCGTAGTTTTTAGTAAACAGGCATTCAGTGGGTCCTCTGATTCTTAGCTTTAAGTGAAGACACAATGTCACATGCATGTGTGGCTGGTGGGATCACAAAGGGTGCCAAGTGTGTGGATCACAGAGGTAGGGAACAGACCAAGGTGGCTCTCATGTCCCCTGCCTCTGGGACTAGCTCAGTGCAAGAAAGATCTGACACATTGAAGGTTGCAGAGCAGGTATTAATTAAGGGACCTTTTGTAAATAGCCTTCCTTCTTCATCAGCTTGTATGCTTTTGGGGTTTTGGGAGTTTTTTGTTTTGTTTTGTTTTTTGGTTTTTTTTTTTTTTGTTTGTTTGTTTGTTTGAGACAAGGTCTCATGTAGTCCAGGCTGCCCCCGAATGTGCCATGTAGCAGATGATAACCTGGTACCCCTGATCTTCCTGCCTCTGCCTCCCAAGTGCCAGGATTACAGACATGTGCCACAATTTCTGGCTAAGTCTCCAGCAATTTAGATTCAATTAGAATAATATGAACTGGCAGTGACTCTTAAGTCACCTCATACTGTTGACAAAGAAGTGGACAACCACAACTGACAGCAGACTACAGTAAAGAGCCCCGTGGTGGAAGAAACCCTGTTCTAGAAGAATATGCAAATGTGGTGGGGAACAGTGGAAAAAGCCAACAGCTGGGAGGTAGTTCCTATGGGGGCTTCAGAGTCAGGGGTGAGAGGTTACAAAGAGCTAAACCCCCAGGGCAGAACTCAACCAGCTGTCTTGGCAAGTCTCCACCACGATTCCCCATGGGAAATGAAAGTTTCCAGTCCTCACTGGTGCCATGGGGTTGACAGAGCTACAGATGCATGTATTTAACTAGAACTGTTGCCTAACAGTGAGTCTCCACCGTGTGTGACAGAAACAGATTCCTGTCACCAGCTCCAAAACATGTGCCATGTCTCGTGTTCTGTGTGTGAGTAAACTGATAATGCTTTGTCAGAGGGAAACAGAGAAAGACTCCCAGATATCTTGACATGTTAGGTGATGTAAAGACATCAGCATCACTTGATGAAAGTGTTTCCGGTGTCAAGAACAGACAGTAGGATTTCCAGATGTGCTGACAGGTCAGGACGGATGGAGGGGAAGTGAAGACATCAGCATCACTTGATGCTGAACATCAACTCTATCTCAAGCACTCTGAAAGGACAGCAGAAAGCAAAGGTCTAAAATAAGGGACCCATATTTGGATCCTGGATCCACCACTACTGGCCATGTGAGGATGAACAAGATACCCAAATTCTCTGAGCCTCACTTTTATTACCTGTTAAATAGGGCAGTGATAGCCACTATACCTCATAGGATTGTTTGAAGAATAAAGTAACTTGATCCAATATAAAGTTCCTAGGACTGTGCCTAGCAGGCCTGCTGGGATGATGATAATTACTGTTATCACAAGGACCCCTACTCCTTCTCTGGAAAGTGCAAGAGGACATACATGGAGTTGTTCACACTCACCTTCAATCTGATCGGCACTGAAGTCTATCTGTAGGGAAAGAAACATAGGAGTGAGGGCAGGAAGTCTTGTCACCTCCAGCAGGCCACTGACGAAGAGGGAAGGACACTGGGCTGAGAGTAAACCAATCTCCCAATGAATGGCCCAAAGGTGGACATCCGTGACATAATGCAGCCTTTGAAACTCTCTCAAAACCAGAAAGGGGAAAGGCTGGAGCTGGTGGAAGGGTTCCACAAGTAAGAGACTTTGTTGCTCTTGAAGAGGACCCAAGTTCCGTTCCTAGCACCTACGCTGGAGCTCACAACCATCTGCAATCCCAAGGATTCCAGTGCTTTCTTCGGAATTCCATGGGCAACAGACACGCACACGGTGCACATACACACACACATACATACATACATACATACATACAGGAAAGACACTCATACACATAAAATAAACCAATCTTAAAAAAATCAATAGGAAAAGGAAGAGAAGTTATCTATTTACACAGTGTAGAACCTACAGTGACCCATTACTCCAATTCTTTTGGGTCCACAGTAAATTCTTTCTCATCCTAGACAGCCATGGATAAGGCTGTCACCCCCAGGTTCTCCCTGGTTCACAATCCCCAGCTTTGGGTGCTCACTACTGCTCATTCTGGGACTCCCCCCCCCCCACCTCGCTGACTGAAGCTTTCCCTTCCAAACATCCCACACTGCCCTCCTCCTGGGCGCTCCAATAAATTACAGGTGCCTGGATTCGTTGCCACTGCTTATCTGTGCCTGTCTCATTAAAACCAGGTCTCCTCCCACCTCCTGGTGATATCATCACTAAAGTGTTTGGTACATAGTATGCACTCAAAAACATTGTGCTGAATGGAGAAGTGGGTTTGGGGTGGCCACCCGTCAACACACATTGTTTGCTGAGGACAGAGCACCTGGGTGGGAAATAAGCCGAGATGACCAAGCATGAGTCATCATTTCAAGTCTTGGATGTCACTTTGACGTCCTTCCCCACTCCACTCTACCCTGACCCTCCCTTCCCTAGTGGTGCTGGGTGCCACCCCTGGGGCAGGCATTTCATGTGCCACCATTCCACGCCCACCCCACCTCTTCTCCCAGAACTGACAGCCAGGAAACTACGGCAAGGCGGGAGTGGTTTTACCAAGGGTGTAGGTAAATGAGGGAAGAGCCCCCCTGCCCCCTCAATGAGGAAAAGCAAGGGCTGGCTGCACTTGGGAAAGATATCGCTTGCCTTGCTTTGCGGTGGTTTTTGCCCCAGGAGCAGACATGTAAGAGAAACCAGGACAGGAGCCCTCAGCCTGACCACGTGGTCATGTCACAATGGGCTCAGGTTTACCTCTGCTCTCAGTGTGGTCAAGGAATCTCATAAGCAAGGGAACTGGGTGATATGTGAACAGGGGGTGGCTCCCATGAGTGACACTGACTTCTTCTTCAGTTTAAAGGCTGGGCAATCAGGAGAGGTGACCGAGTGGAGGGAAGTGACAGATCAAAGGGGAGAGTGCCCATGCGATGCCGCTGGGCAACTGTCGTCTAGGTACCGGGCATGGTGTTTAATCCGACAAATCAGAGATAAAGGCAAGGAGGGCTCCTGGGAACACAGATGCTCAGCTTTTAGGAAAGAAAGATGATGCAGAACGCCCCTGGGTACTATCGGGGTTTCCACTACTCTCAGTTTCCCCCAAGGAGCCACACAACCAAGTCCAGGCACACACAACCATGTCATCACTTTGACAAGTCAGTCCTGCTAAACCCTGGTAGGGCTAACAGGGCCTTGCCCCCTTAGCACAGTAGTGTATGGAATTTCTTCTGTGAGCTTGATCCTGAGACTAGGGAGGCCCACAGTTAAGAGCCTCCGATTCAGGGTCTCTGCCCGTGTGTCACAGAGCCTTGTCTTGTACTCATCACCACCCCCAACCTGTACTGTGAGATTCCCCCAGGGGGCCACCACTCCAGACCTGATATTAATAGCTCTTTATGCCCAGAGCTACTTGACCTCTCAAGTGCCAAATCTCCAAACGGGTCCTCTCTAGACGCTTCAGACCCCCTCTTCCCCAGGCCCAACCCTTCCTGATTCATTCCTTCAACAGCTGGGCCAGATTGCTGGGAGGCCTAAAATGACTGAGTTAGTCAGCAGGGGTCCACAGCAGCTCCAGAGAGAGGGGGGTGTTACCAGCCAGGTGAAGGGAGTGAGATGAAACAGGGCATCAAAGTGCGAGGCTAAAGAAAGCAGGCCCAACTCCCTCACCAAGTTAGAGAGGCCTCAGCCAGGAGTGAGCCACTCAGGCTGGGACCACGAAAGAGAGGCCAGTCAGTGTGTACTTTCCAGCAAAGCCTCCATGCTCCCGCACACAAGAGCATCCTCTCCGGCTGCCCACGCCCAGTCCCAGTTATGCCACTAGTTCCCATCAAGTGTCTGTTTTCCAAAAACATATTTCACCTCTCAGGGCTGGGAAGAGAATTTAGCTGGTTTTTTTTTTTGTTGTTGTTGTTGTTGTTGTTTTTTTAACTAAGGTCCCAGGTTTGATTCCCAACACCCACACGGCATCTCACAATCTGTAACTCCAGGGCTGAGCGATCCAACACCCTCCTCTGGCCTCTATAGACATTGCAAGCATGGGTTACACGGACATACATGTAGGTGAAACACCCACACACGGAGAATAAAATCACAAATTGTAACAGGTACACTCATATCCCACTTGACGTAAAAGCCGATCTTTGTTTCACAGTGCTTGTCCCACATTGTGTTCAACAAAAGCTGCCTGTTTGGTTGCACCTGCCACCAAAATGGATTCTGCTGGGCTAATCGGGAGGTGGCCTGGCTGAGCCGCTTTGCACATAGCGGCAACCTGTTATTAAAACAGAAAGCCTCTAACCCGAGTCTGGTCTGGTTCTACTAGCTCATGGTGCTATGTCCTGGGGCATGGACACCCATGGTCCTCATCTCTGTCTGGCCTGAGAGAAAATAGGACCCTGTCATCCCCACCCCTACCTGGTGGGCTGAGCTTTACTCACCTTCACGCTTTTAGGGTCAAAGGCAGAGTCCTTGAGGGGCTCAGGAGCTGGGGCAGGGGCAGGGGCTGCAGCTGCGGCTGGCTTGGCAGCCTCCTTCTTAGGCTCAGGCTTCTTGGGAGGCATGTTGTCTTGGGGTTTTCAGTGGAGATGGGACCTTTAAAGGAACTAAAAGCAGAGAGGTAGCCCCTCAGAGAGAAAATGGGAGACTGCAGCGCCTCCTTCTGCTTTTATTCTGGGCAGGAGCCCCCACAGAGGGCCTGGGTGAGAGCAAGAGCAACTGCTGCTGGCTATAAAAGGAAGAAACACCAGCAGGGTACAGCTGACATCTCAGTATTGTCACCAGTTTGGGGCCACCGGTCCCCTCCCCCACCCGCCCACCCACACACACCTCACTCCTCACAGCTTGCACCTCTGGAGTAGATTGACCCTTCCCTGCCCATTGGTGGAAACCCAGATTGGGGCAGGAAAACAGACCCTCCCCTAAGACCAGAGTGACCAGAGAGAGATGAGCTGACTTGAGCCCTTGATAACCCTCACACATAGCCCAGGGGCGGCTGAGGCTTTTTTTAGCCCCTCCAGAGCACAGGCAGCCCACTACACATTCCTTTTAAGCCAAGAGCCTTTAAGCTGAGAGCCCCAGTCTCTGCCCTAGAGGCTCAACTGACCAGGCATGCAGGCATGGAGCCCTGAGGCAACAGCTGGTCCAACAGCCGCCCCCCCCCATGTCCCCACTCTCCCAACCCACAGTTTAAACCCTGCTTTGTCCAGGGCAGGCATCCCAAGAACTCCAGACTTCAACTCCCTAGACCCACACTCTACCCACAGTTGTTCATTTAGCAAGGATTGCACATTTGTGCCCTGGGGCGGGGGGGGGGGGTGAGTCTGGGTAAGAAACAGATATCCAGAGGCTAGAGGTTAGAAAGCTCAAGATCTAGCGTGTGCTTTGTCTCTAACTCAAGCTCCACTGCGTGCTCTCTCTCTTTTTCTCTCTCTCTCTGTGAATGTGTGTGTGTGCGCGCGCGCGCGCGCGTGTGTGTGTGTGTGTGTGTGTGTGTGTTTATGTGTGTGTGTGTGTTGCTTACTATGCACCAGGCTACGAGATACTATTCCTATAATATCTCATTGAATTGTCCGTAATCCTAAAAGGCAGATAATATTATTACTCAGATAATTACAGAAACACACACACACACCGTGGTTAAAATAACTTGGCCAAGATCACTCAAATGATTAACTATGAGCTGGGATTGGAAGACAGGTATATCTGATCGTGTGTATAGCTGAATAATTTATATTACAGTCTCATGTATATGAGAAAGAGACCCGGGGTGAGGGAGGCATCAGGACGGAAATACGGCAGAGTAATGCACACCTGGCACCCGACACTCAAGAGACAGAGACGGGCCGTGCGTTAGATCATAGTTCAAAAAGCAGGAAGAGAGGAGGGAAGGGAATGGGAGGTGAGAAGCAGCTGTTCACGGGAACCCCTGGGGACCCTGCGGGTGCTGGTAGTGGATCACCACAGTTTATTGCTTTTCTCCCACTTCCTATAAATGGAAAATTTTGTACAATCATGTGATGTTTTCAAAAAAAAGGGGGGTGGGGGAGTCAACAGTATTCAGAAAACCAAAGTTTGTCTACCACACACATGCATTGAGCTGACCTTTAGACTATCTAGGGTTCACAGGATCAAAACCAAGGAAGGCAGAACAGCACTCTGACTTTCTAAGCCATTTCTTCGCCTATAAAACAAGATTGTATGGACTGAGGATATAGCATAATTAATTGGCAGTGCGATTACCAACAACACAAAACCCTGAGTGGACCTCCAGCACCACATAAAACCAAACATTCTGGTGACACCTGCCTGTAATCCCAGCACTCAGGAAGGGGGGGGGCAGGATAACCAGAAATTGGAGGGCATCCTTGGTTATGTAGTAAGTCTGAGGCCAGCCTGGGCTATATAAACAAATAAAATAAAATAAAGACTGCTAGTTGAGAGAAGTAGAACGTGTGTGTAATCTCATCGCTCAAGAGTGTGTGGTAGAAGGATCAAGATTTCTGACCTGGGTCACATTCTGCCTCAGACAACAAGAAACCAAAATTGGGAGAATCTTCCCAGTGAGCACCGAAGCCTCGAATTCCAGGTACCCTGAAGCCAAACATCTGTCCCTTCCCCAATTCCCTAACACGGCTGTCACTGCTATAATAGCCTATAGTGCCCTGTGGCTAAGATCACCTGGTGCAGTACAGCCTTCCTGGAGAAGAATCTGAGCCCAGAAAGGCCCAGTCCTGCCGGCACTGGGTTGGCTAAACTGACGCCCATTGTGTGGGCTGACTTATGCCACACTGTCCCTTTCCGTGACCTGCCTATACCTAATCTAGCCGTTGGGCAAAGAAACCTTCAAGGGAAAGCGAGGCAGGAAAGGGGACCAGAGTTGCCCTCAAACGAGAGCGAGACTGAAACTCAATCCAGGCCCTTCCCTCTTTTCATGTTGCCTCTTCCCCTCACCTTTGCCTCACTTCCCTTTCTCCTCCCCCCTCCCCCACCCCGTTAAACCTGACCCCTTGAGGCTATGGAGATGGCGTCCTAGGAAAACGCATCTGCTGTCAAGGCTGACAGCTTGAGTTCTGCCGTCCCGATCCACATGGTAGAAGGGGAGAATTGACCTTCCTCAAGTTGTCCTCTGACCTCCACAAGCTCAGGCTCCCCCACTCACACAGAAACTAATTGGTTAATTTTTTTTTTCTCAAACCTAACCCCTTACCAACGCTAGATTTTCATCATTGTGTGCGCCCTGTGGGTCCCCTTCCTGATCTACTTCACTAAAGTTAGGTGGATGGTGATGAGGAAGGAAAAGAAACACAGCCCCCTCAGTCTCTGCACTCCCCAACCCCCCACCCCAAACGCCAGCCTCTTTCCTGGGCGAACATCCTGGAGTGTTTGTATGGAGAAAGACCTATAGATTTACCTGCGAAGCCTGTAAAAACATCGCAGCTGGAAGCTTGGAAGAAGGCATCCAGGCACCCTTCCTGACTCACCAGCCACAGAGTCTCTCTGAGCCACACAGCCAGCTGACCGCTGACGTGAAAGATAATGGGTAGCTTTCAAAGCAGGGTCAACAGAATCCTAGTGCCAGGACATTCTTCTGGCGCCAAGGGATAGAGAGGCCTATCACAGATAAATAAGAATCTGGGGAAAAAAATAGGCTGATGGATGTTTATTCAAGGAGAAATCACTTACACCAGAAACAGATGACCGCCAGCAGGTTCCCATCCCAAAGATGCCTCTGGATGCTCTCTGTCTCTGAACAGGAAGCTGGGGTCCCGGATCCCAGACCTAGTCCCCCAGGTCACTCCGGCACCTGTCCTCAGGACCCAATGGGCGTGGTCAGTGCAAAGGTGTGGGCAGGGTGGATATCTCACTACAGAGGCCAGGTCTGGGGGCTTCCCTCTACCACCAACCCTGCAAACGGCACCCCACCATGTGTGTTTTATAGTTTGGGTTTGGTTTGGTTTTTTACAATTATTTGTTTTGGTGGAGGGAGGCATCCATGGGCATGTATGGAGGTCAGAGGACAATTGCAGGAGTGAGTCCTCCCCTTCCACCACGTGGGTCCCAGAGCTCGAACCCAGTTCACTGGGCTTGGAGGCTTATCACTTTTGTATACTGAACCATCTTCTTGGCCCTTGAGAATTTAATTTGATTTAATTCTTTATTTTTTATTTATCGAATTTTATTTTCATTTAAAACTTTTTAAAGATTTTATTCTTAAAATTGTATGTGTGTGTTTATGTTATGTGCCCATGTTTATAGACAGGTTTTTCTTTGGGCCACCAGCTCACAAAAAATGACACAGAGACTTATTACTAATTATAAAAGCTCAGCCTGTAGCGTAGACTTATTCCACTAGCTCTTATAACTTAGATTAACCCATTTCTTTTCATCTACGTTCTTTTATGTGGCTCGGTTACTTTTACTCTGCACTGGCCCTCCTGCCTCCTCTGAACCTGGATGGTGACTCTGCCTTCCTTCCTCCCAGAGTTCTCTCTGTCCAGAAGTCTCTGCTATACCTCCTGCCTAGCTATTGACCACTTAGCTTTTTTTTAAACCAATCACAGTGGCACATCTTAACACAATGTGAAAAAATATTCCACAACATATGTTTGTGGAGATCAGAAGGGGACTTCAGATCTCTTGGAACCAGTTACAAGTGGCTGTGAGGAGCCCAACACAGCTGCTGGAAACTGATCTCAGGTTCACTGTAAGAGCAGCACATGCTCTTAATTGCGGAGCCATCTTTCAGGATGTATTGGATTACTTTTGTTTTTGTTTTTGTTCTAGAACTCATAATGTAATCTATACTGACCTCAGACTCAGGACAATTCTCCTGTTTCAGCCTTTAAAATACTGAGATTACAAAGTTGAGCTTCCCTGTGTGTGTTTACTTATTTACGTGTGTGTGTGTGTGTGTGTGTATGTGTGTGTGTGTGTGTGTATATCCAAAAATGTGTCTTCCTCTATCACTCTCCACCTTATTTTCTGAGACAGGGTTTGCCAGTGAACCTGGAGCTCACTGATTGGCTAGAGTGACTGCCCATGGAACTCAGGAAATCCAACTATCTCCAAACCACACACATCCCAGAATGGGTTTCAAGTGTGGTGCAGGATGCAGGTGAAGATCCTAATTCAGATTCTCCCTCTTGTCCTGTATCTTAGTCACTGTTCTATCACTGTGAGAAGACACCATGACCAAGACAACTCTTACAAAAGAAAGCATTTAATTGGGGACTTGCTTACATTCTCATCATGGCAGGGAGTATGGTGGCATGCCTACATGGTGCTGGAGCCATAGCTAAAATCTAAGTCCTGATCCACAGGCTAAGAGGTGAGGGGTGAGTCTAGCTGGGCTTTTGAAACCTCAAAGCCCACCCCAAGTGACACACTTCCTTCTACAAGGCCACACTTTCTAATCCTTCTAATCCTTTCAAATAGTTCTACTCCTGGTGAAGAATTCAAATATATGAGCCTATGGGGACCATTTTCATTCAAACCACACACCCTGCAAGCAGTTTACCCACTGAGCCTGTGTGTTTTACATATCCAGCTTCTCACACGTTTTCAAAGAAATAGTTTGAGTGTTTTAATTTTTTTTTTTTTTTTTT